ATGTGGCTGAATAGTAGCACTACATCTCCCTGCTTTGAATTGCAGTAGGTATGAAGCTTATAGAACTAAAGGATATTGATTATGGAACAAGTTTTAATTCTTGGGGGTAAAATCTGTACTTTTGCAATTTCTTATGGAACTGGCATTTGAAAATCTGGATCTTTGATTGCTCTATTAAAACCTATATCATTTAGTCTTGACATATTATTAATCATCAAGTCCCTTTTTTTTTCTCAAATAAGGTTTTCTTATAAAATAATGGGCTTGGTCTAGAGTAGAAAATCTCAAGTGGCTGTGCAACAGGAGTACCTGGGAAGTTTTGAAAATTATGCATGTCAGGGCTACAACCCTGACATACTCTATCAGAATATCCACGCTTTTCCCTCTGGGAATCAGAATTTTAACAACCCCCTCCATCCCTCAGGTGATTCTTATGTAGCTAGGCCAAATATAGTTTGGGAATTCCTGTACAAGACTAATGATTCACAAACTTTCATTTGTGTTAGGAGGTCTCCAGACAATATTTAGAGAAACTTTGGACTAATTGATATTTATGTTCCTTTAAAGCCTATTCTATGATCCCTTGAGGTGGCCTTATTAAGACCCTGCTCTTCTCTCCCTGCCAGGTTCTGTAGTACATCAGTCTGGAGCATCTCTAGGATAGTGGCATCTGCCCAGCACTGTCTTCTTGAGGGCATCCTTTACCTCCTTGTTCCTCAGGCAGTAGATGGCTGGGTTTAGGAAGGGTACAATGACAGTATAGAGCACAGAGATGATCTTGTTGTGGTTGAAGGTGTACATGGCCTGGGGCCGTGCATAGGTGAAAAGAGTGGAGGAGTAGTAGATGACAACCACTGTCAGATGAGAGACACAGGTGGAGAAAGCTTTCTGGCGCCCCTGAGCAGTAGGAATCCTCAAGATGGCTACAACGATAGCAGCGTATGATGAAACCACAGCCAATAGAGGGAGTAAAATCATCACTAGGGCCAGGAGAAAGTCTACTATCTCTGCTTGCTCCTTGTCAGAGCAGGTGAGGTTGAGGAGTGGGGAAATATCACAGAAAAAGTGGTTGATGGTGTTGGGTCCACAGTAGGAAAGTCGGGAAATGAAAAGAAGCTTCATCATGGAGCTGAAGAAGCCACTGCCCCAAGAAGCAGCAGCAAGACGAGTGGCCAGCCTGGGAGGCATGAGACTGGGGTAACGGAGGGGTTCACAGATGGCCAGGTAGCGGTCATAGGCCATGACTGCCAACAGGGCACATTCAGTGCAGGCCAAGGCAATAAAGAAGTAGAGTTGGGTCATGCAGCCTATATAAGAGACTCTACGGTCCTGGGTAAGAAAGGCTCCCAGGAGCCGGGGAACAGTGACATTGATGTACCATAGCTCCAGGAATGAGAGATGGCCAAGAAAAAAGTACATGGGGCGGTGAAGGCTGGGACTGAGCCAGATTGTGGAGATGATGAGTGCATTCTCAAATAACGTCAACAGATAAATTGCAAGGAGCAGACTAAAGAGGAGCAGCTGTAGGGGTGGTGAGGTAGGGAAGCCCACCAAGACAAATGCCTCTACCTGGCCTCCACTCAAATTTCTCATGATCTCTGTCCACTTGACTGCCTGAAAAGAAAGAAGAACAAGAGGTTAAAAGACAGGTGGACTAAACATCTACCATCTCTCACCAATTCCAGCCTTCTGAAGATTCTCAATGGTTTAGTATCAGTTTTTATTAGTTTGTTTCTTCACTTTGCTGACTTATCACCTACTTTATGGGAAAAGTGCTCAGACTTGAAGATTGTACGCAATGCTTACAAAACTTTGTCTACAGTGGGTATTTGATAAATGCTTGCTGAGTGATTTCAGAGCCAGCCTTAGTATTTGATTCTTGCTTTTTTATTCATGACATGCTCTTTCCTTCCTTCCCTTGGGAGCATCTCTGAACTCATAAACCCCAGACCACCTTTATTCAATATTTGTCAAATAAATGAATAAAATAATGAGCAACAACAAATTGAAACCTGAGGGCATATCTCTCAAGGGAAATTAGACTAAAAGGGAAGAGTTGCTCAAAGGGGCTGCTTGAGATATGGTGCAGGTGGCAAGGCAGGAGGGAAGTTGGTTTGGAAAAGTATCCATTATAAAGTTGAGAAACAATTCAGTATGGAGGAGATAAAGAAATTCTTCTATCCCAGAGAGAAACCATTCTTTCATTCATTTACAAGTATTTTTGAGTACATTCTTTGTGCCAGATTTAGCCTGATTCATTCCTGGGCTGGTGTGGTAAGCTGAAAAATGGTCTCCCAAAAGATATCCATGTCCTAATACCTGTACCTGTAAGTATGGAACATGGTACTTGCAAATATTGCTATATATAGTAAAGGCTTTGCAGATATAATTTAGTTAAGGATCTGGAGATGGGGAGATTATCCTGAATTATCCAGGTGGGCCTTAACTGCAATCGCAGGTATCCTTCGAAGAGGGAGGCAGAGGGAGATTTGACACAGACACACAGAGGAGAAGTAGCTGTGAAGATGGAGTGGAGGGTGATTTGAAGATGCTACACTACTGACCTTTAAGATGAGAGTGAGGAGGCCACAAGCCAAGGAAGTAGGAAAAGGCCAGTAACAGATTCTCACCTGGAGCCTCCAGAGGGAGTATGGCCCTGCTGACACCTAATTTCAGCCCAGCAATACTGACTTCGTTCTGTCCTCCAGAACTGCAATAAATCTCTGTTGTTTTAAGCAATCAAATTTGTGGTAATTTGTTACAGCAACACTAGGAAACTAATACTGCTGGTGAAGCAGCAAGGTGGAATAGGTAATCACCTGCTTCCCAACCATCGTTCTGTGCCTCTCCATAGCATCAGCCACTTGGTGTCTCCAGACTGTCTGATAAAACAACAAATCTGACTTGAGATTGGGTCACATATTAGATCTCATTAAGCATTTGCATCTTTCGTGTGACTTAAAGCACTTGTATTCATATTTTTTTCCTTCAAAAAACTTAAGAAACAGTATATACACTCGCATATTTTTAATTGACATCTTTTTTATTATATATTAAATATTTGCAGAAAATCTAATTTCCACTGCATTGTGAATATTGACACTTAAAGTGAATCTATTACATCACTCCTTTACATACCCACCGAAATCTGAATAGCAGAGCTAGCATACCCACTAATATTTACCTTAAAAATTACAAGAGTGATGGTCTCTTTAAAAGATGGAAATTTTGCATTGTTTTTCTCATGAAACATAATTTCATGGTATTCTAATACATTTTTATAACTACAAGCCTCTGTACTTTCAGTATGTGTTTCCTGTACTGTGGAGGCTGTTTTAAAAGGACTTTCTTCTAGATATCACTGTATGATTATTATTTGCATATACTTCACCAAAGCAATATAAATACATGACAAATTTAAAAAAAATTACACATAAAATTAAAAACTTCATTGGAGTGAGAATGGTTGCACAACTAGAAGAATGTAATCAATGTCATTGAATTGTACATGCAGAAATTTTGAATTGGTGTATGTTTTACTGTGTATACTCTCAACAACAACAGACTCCCAGTTTCTCTCTGTTGCATGGAGCATGTCTCACTGAGGCTGCTACTGGCACATGAACCCTTTTTGACACCAAATAAACTCTATAAAATGTTAAAAAAATTTATTGGAAAAGCCTTTTATAAATATGCACCATGTACTTTTTTCCTAATTATTGTATGCATACATGAAGATTACTTATTACTTTAATGAGAAAGTCTTCAACATTTCCATTCATAATTTTCATTTGGAGATATAAGCACAGAATAAACTAGTACATAAATCTATAGGAAATACATGAGGCAGAGGTAACATAGGAATGGAAGGTGTTTTGTTATAGTTATTACACTAAATTATTTGAATTTTTTATTAATTATGTGCCAGAAATTGCACAGTAAATTATCATCAAAATATTTTTAATGACCTATTGGCTGTCAGCCTGATTAGCTCCTTTTTCAATTATCAATTTTCAATTTTTAAAACAATGGATTGGAAACCACTAACTTGCAAAAGGATTTGTGACCCAGTTGCAAGAATCATCCACATTCTCAGTGCTGACATTGGTTGGCACTGACAATAACTTAGACTCTAGGGAATGTCCACACAGTAAGATTCAGTTACGCCTTCCCTTGTAAGGTGAGAGAAAGTGTTTTGAAAAGAGAAATGGAAAGGCAAAGAAGTATTTGTCAAGGAGATCAATTTTAAGAAAAGCTCTTAAGGAAGTTGAAGATCAGAGAATGATTCCTTTGGAATTATTTGTACCTGTACCTTGGAAAGGCTTTGAGTACCCTCAGATATCCATAAACCTCATTTTGAAAATCAGTGACTTAACATATTAGATACTTCCCTACAACAGAGTTTGGAGTGGTGGTATGGGTGGTAAATGTGGGAGCAGGGTAGGAAGAAAGCAAACATGTCTTGGGAAAAGGTAATAATAATGGAGGATGGGAAAAATTCAAAGATGATGGCTGGAAACTTCCAAGAGCTAAGGTAGGAGAATTCAGATGCTGTAGTACAATGAGCAATGACAGAAAGTTCAGAAATAGGCTTGCCTTCATCTCTCTATTCTTGGTTCACAGAGCAGTGCCCACAACATAGTAGGTACTCAATAAATATTAGTTGACCACGTTTCAGTCCTGGTCTCTATAATCTTGAATAATTTACTTCATTCAAATACATATTTTTAAGTTTAGATAAATGAACCGAATAAAAATTAAGGTTCTTTCCACTTCTAGCTATGCATGAAATTTGCCTGGAACTCCAACTTGGCCCAGGATCAGTCCTGAGGGCTGCAGGAGAGAAATTGTTAGAAATTGAGTCAAGAGTGGGAAATAGCCTAGGAAACTCACTGCTTGTTTCACAAGTTAGTCTGAAATTAGTCTTGCTCTGTAGTCCACTGTGGCTCAAATTGTCTGATGATTCAAATACAAGCCCGTAAGTAAGATCCCATGCACTCAGAGGTGTTTATAATCTCAACTCCTACCTACTTCTCAACTTCACTTTGCATCATCGTCATTGTAGCTTCCCAGCTCACTTTGTGCTCAGACTGGTCTGCTATTACGAAGAAGCTTGGCATCCAGGGAAACCCCTATCCTTAATCTCTGCCAGATATTGTCTTCCCTGTTTTTCTAGACTTAGCTTCTAACCTACCTTCCCTCCTTGAACGGGTCATCCCAGATTAACTACATCTACTTATCAACTATTTCATTATCCAACATTTCACTTTTACAATAGTAAAAAAAATTACCATCCAACTGTTTTATGACCAGTGGAACATATAGCGTCAACCTACATTTTCCTCCTCTTGGGTCCAGAGGGACAAATATTTCCCACATAATATTCTGTGATCTGATATCATCAGCCTCCATTTTCACATAATGCCGATTTTTTCATAATGACCTCATCTTTGGAACCTAACCATTTGAGGAGTGGGTGTACTTCTAATCACTCCAATTCCTACAGTAGTTCTGAGTATATCAGTGCACTAAGTACACTGAACTCTTGTTCTGTTTGTTTTTTTGTCTTCTGTGTACTCTAATTTCTGGGCTGCAGTTTCAACATTCACCCAGTGATAAGAACTTTAAATAAACCCTTCTAATTTGACAGCTTAGCTTCTAGAGAATAATTAATGTGGCAATCTGAAACTTTCTGAGGATTTCTCCCATTGTATTTCCCTCAGAACCAAGAGAAGATCTTTACCCACAGGACCTCTCAGGACTAAATGTTATTGATCATTGTTCAATTCAGTCTCCTACTTGCTCTTGGATTCTCCCTTTTATGGTCACCATTTCCTCCACACCCATCACTCATCCTCTTATTTAACCCTCCAGTCACATCTGGAGTTCTTCAAGATCTCACTCTGTTTTCTACATGTGGGCTTTTGCACATGCATAGACGTCATAAACAACAGTTAGTTCCTCTGTGAAAACTTTGTCCATTTCCTATATTACGTACAGTAGTCCCCTCTTATCTGTGGTTTCGCTTTCCAAGGTTTCAGTTATCTGTGGTCAACTGTGGTCCAAAAATATTAAATGGAAAATTCCAGAAATAATTCATAAGTTTTAAATTGTGTGCCATTCTGAGTAGTGTGATGAAAACTCATGCCGTCCTGCTCTGTCCCAGCCAGAACTTGAATCATCCCTTTGTCCAGAGAATAGACACTGTAAATGCTACCCACCCATTCGTCACTTGGTAGCCGTCTCAGTTATCAGTTCGACTGTTGCAGTATCACAGTGCTTGTGTTCAAGCAATCCTTATTTTACTTAATAATGGCCCCAAAGCACAAGAGTAGTGATGCTGACAATTCAGATATGCCAAAGTTATTGTTGTTAATCTTTTACTGTGCCTAATTTACAAATTGAACTTTATCATAGGTATGTGCGTATAGGAAAAAACTGTATATATAGGGTTTGGTACTATCTGAAGTTTCAGGCATCCACTGGGGGTCTTGGAACATAACCGCTGCAGATAAGAGGGGACTGCTGTAAATGGATCCCTCATATCTGCTGTTGTGAATATGACTCTGTTATCAGATCTGTAGCGTGATTGTGCATTTATCTGGATTTCTCTTCCTTTAGACTAAAATAGGTACCCCAAAAATCTATATTGAATGAATTAATAAATAAATATTGTAATAATTTAGGGACCTTGGAAATTACTGCTCCTTCTCTATGTCAGGAGTACAAGGCTGAACCTGT